CAGCCGCCCGCGGGAGCCAGCCGGACATCCGGGCACGCCTCGCCTCCCCTCCCCTCACCGCCCTGCCGGCTCTGGCGCCCGTCCGGGCCTCCAGCCGGGGGCCGCTGCCGTCAGGCTCCCCCGCCCCATGGTGGTGCCTGAGCAGCTGCTCTATGGAGACGCTGGGTCCAGGGCCCGCCCCATGCCCCGGCCCCGGGGTACAAGAAATTCTTCATCCTGCACTTTAGAGGGGTAGCGAGTTAGTCTGTAACAGGAAACACTTAGAAAGCAACAAATAGACCAGCAGCACTGTAAAGACCAACACAACATGTAGATGGTATTGAGAGTTCAGCTCGAAGAATAAATAAGGGAAGAAGGGATTGGGAGGAGGGAGAGGAGAAGGAAAAAATTGAAGAGAAAGAAAAAAAGACAGTGATCTGGATTTCCAACACTCCAGTCATATGGAGTGGGCTGTGCCCAGGAAAGCTCATGATACCATCTACATGTTTTGTTAGTCTTTAAAGCACTACTAGACTATTTCTTGTTTAAGTTTTTCATCCTACACTGTCAGTGTGAGGTGCCAGCTGCTGTGTCAGACTCTAAATCTTCAGGGTTATGCCCTGCTATGCAAAGTGCATAAACTCATCCCCCACTTGATAGCAACAGCCCATATATTTTCCTTCTAGGAGAGATACACATCCCCACAACCTGCTTGGGCTACAGAACACACAGCAGAAACATCAAATAGTCATCTACAAAGAAGAGGTTCTTGCCATTTCGATGCCAAAGCCTATGATCATCTACTTTGATATCCTGTGGTACATATTCATGTAGTACAGTGCCTACACCTAACACTAACGGCAGTTTAATGCAAGCAGTTAAAAAAAGTTTAATCTCAACTGTTTATTTCCTCTCCCTAATTAAAGTATTTCTTCTCTTGGGAAATTCTAAGGAAGTCTTAGAGAAGACCACAATCAGGAACAGTAAATCATTGATTGAAGATTGAGATTTGGAAATGTTTTTCTAATTTGACAGAAGCAGCTGTGTTAAAAATTAAAAAGCATTCTATGAACCAGTCTGAAAATCAATGTATTGAAATACTCAAACAAATGATTAAATATAAAAGGATAATTTCACATACTTCAGTTCATTCTTAATTTCTCTTGTTCATGAACAGCATTCTACCCAAAAACAATTATCTTCTTTTTCCATTGAATAAACTGTGATTTCCTCTTAAGTTTTTATGAACCATAAAACAGCATGACTCAAACATATGTTTGTTGCTCAAGATAGAAGTGTTATTCAGGCTGTCAACATAGCTCATGGGAAGTTAACTTTTTGCTGACTATGCAGTAGTCAATATTAACCCTGCCACAGACGCTATATTAAAAAAATCAGTGACTTTAATACTACATTGATGGGCTTTATAGAAAAATTATAGATGGTAAAAAAGGAGCGTAAAAATAGATTATAATGTGGTGAGAAATGTTATCTAAACATTTTAATGCACAACAGACATTGTATCTGAAATCCTTTACAGTATCATTAAACTAAAATATTTCAAAGAGGATTTCTTTTTAACAAAATGTTAAAAGCACTTATCAATCTTTATGAAGAATTTTTTTTTAATCTTTCTCTCATTAGTTGGGAGAGGTAGAACCTGAACCCCGCTTGCTCTGGGTTCCTTGCACCGCCTCTCCATTTTTGTTGAAAAAACAAAATAAGTCCCTCCTCTCCCCCAGAGCCAGGCACCCCCAACCTAATGCCTCTTCCTCCCTCCCAGAGCCAGGCACTCCCAGCCCAATGCCTCCCACAACCTAATACCTCCCCTCTCCCCCAGAGCCAGGCCCTCCCAACCTAATACCTTCCCTCCTCCCCTACAGCCAGGCACTCCCAGTGCCCCCAACCTAATACCTGGATCCAGGAGTGTCCGTTACCACTGCCACACATTGATTCCTCAGGCGCACTAGGGTGGCATGAGCACAGCTGCCAGCTGTGAGTGTGTGCTGGGCGCAGAGTGGCCCGGCTGGCTGTAAGTGTGTGTGCAGAGCGCCCAGTGCAGAGTGGCCCGGCCGGCTGTGAGCACGTGCTCGGTGCTGTGCGCAGAGTGGCCCCAGCCGTGAGCAATCGCTGCAGCACAGAGCAGCCCAGCCAGCTGTGATCTGCACTCGGCCACGTGCTCCGAGCAGCCAGTGGGCTGCACTTTATTCCTTTCTAAAAATGTACTGGTGGGCCGCAAAACATTTTGATCAGGCCACATGCGGACCTCCAAGTGCCAGTTTGACATGCCTGATTTAGAAAGTATTTAATGTTCAAATCTTCCTCTTACTTTCTCACGTTAAGTGTACATGATAATTTAGTACAGATGACAGCAAGAGGTGTATTTACCAGTCACTATTTTAATAAAAAAAATAGCAGGAAGAAATAAAAAGACAACTTCCTTCATAAAATATTGAGAGACACATAGAGGAGAGAAAACACAACTCCTCCTTCAACAGGTTAGCACATCTTGGAAATATGAGATTCCTCTCATTTATTTTATAAATATTTCAGGCTCTCTACTACATCACACCAGGGTAAGACATTTCTCTTATTATGCATGTAAATCCCATTAATGGATTCACATATGCACAACAAATGCATAAATGTACATTATCCATAAATATAGCTGCAATAACAGATGAACCATCTGTTATTTATAATGAAAGATAAGCAGTTTTGTGGTCAGAAAATAAGTACATATGACTTGCTAAAGGCAAGTTTTATTTTATTTTTTATGAAAATGGTGAAAATGAATCAAATATTAAAGATTATTCTTGTGTTTCCTAGATATTTACTGCTTGGTCAAGTCAATATACTGGACTGAGGGCATCATAGAGTCTCTGTGCAGCCAACTCCACCATTTCCCGAAGGGGTTCATCATCTTCATTTCCTGGCTCACATTCAGCAGTCTGGAACAAGAGATGTATGTGAGCAAAGAATCAGAATCAAACAGCCCTGTAATTTACCTTTTTTAAAGAATTTGCTGGTAAAACCAATTAGGAGAAGGATAGTAATTAGCAATCTAAGCACCAAAAAATATAATAAAATAAAATCCTACAGCAGTGAAGCAAATTGTAAGGAAAATTACTAAGAGATTTCAACTGCACTGCAGTCTTCTGACTAGGGCTGTCAAGCAATTAAAAAATTGTGACTATTTTTAGAAATTTCATATTGGTGCCTACTTTGCAGTTTGTCAAATCTACTGTTAAGTTCTTAAAATTAACATGTGCTGGCTCATCATCCAAGACAGCTATAAACATGAAATATATGGCAGAACACATATAGAACAGAACAGGAGACAAATATATACATTTGTAAGTTACCACTTCATGATAAAGAGATTGAACTACAGTACTTGTATGAGGTTAATTGAAAGATGTTATTTCTTTTATTTCTTTTTTACAGTGTAAATATTTGTATTATAAAGTGAGCACTGTATACTTCATATTCTATGTTGTAAGTGAAATCAATATATTTGAAAATACAGAAAACATCTGAAATATTTAAGACATTTCAATTGATCAGAGCTTACAGTGCCAGGCAGTAGATGGCTCCTTGCTGGCTCCAGGCATATACTGGCTTGTGTCTGTCAGCCCCTTCCCAGAGAGGCGCCTGCTGCCCTGCACAGCAGGTTCTGATACAGAGCTAGAAGCATGGGGTGTTAGCGGGCTTCCCGGGAGCAAGGGCATGCTAGAAGGGAATTTATAAGATGGCTCCCAGCCAGTGTTCTCTCTGAACTGCGAGGCAGCACCATTTCACAGGTGATTAATCAGCCCTGCCAAGTCAAAGGCTAAGGGCTCCAGTGTGCGGAGCTGACCCCACAGCTTAAAGGAAACACTGCTCCCAGTGTATACCGCAGGCATATCACACTCGAAGCCTACTGAGGGCTGCACAAACAAAAACTGATAGCTTTCAGGGCCACCAAAGAAAATGTACTCCTATTGGAAAGTTGTAATTATTTATTATTATAGATTATGTTTTAAGTATATTTTTAAACATTTTTTTCAGGTTTTGTTTGACTAATACAATAATTTGATGTTATTGTTATTAAAATTGTTATTTGCTCATATATATATTAAAATTTAAATATAAATTTAAGGTACTTTTAAATTTTTTATGATACTAACTTGTTGAAATAAGAACAAGAATAGACAGTGGTTGATCAAATATAACAGGATTCTAAAAATTTGAGATCTTGCATAAACATAATTATTCATGCGACTGCAAAAAAGGACATATTTATTGATATAAAATTAATACAATACATTTTGTGATTTTATTTGTGAATAAATAAATAAATAATAAAATATTAGCAAGATATCCCCCTCTGCTCCCCTAGAGTCAGGCACTTCCGGCCCCACCCCCGTTCTAACCCAATGTCTCACCCCTCTCCCAGAGCCAGGCACCCCCAGCGCCCCCCAACCTAACCCCCCCCAACCTCATGCCTGGGTCCCGGTGCTGCCATCGCCGCTGCCACCACATTTCTTCGTCCAGGTGCTGGAGTGGCCGGCTGTAAGCAGGCGCTTGATACTGCGCGCAGAGGGGCCAGCTGGCTGTGAGCACGTGCTGGAGTGCCAAGCGGCAGGCCAGCCATGAACACGTGCTGGGTGCTGTGTGCAGAGTGGCTGACCAGCTGTGATCTGTATTTGACCACGTGCTCAGAGCGGCCAGCGGGTTGCACTTTATTCTTTTATAAAAATGTAGCAGCAAGCCTCAAAAAACTTCAATCAGGCCGCATGCGGCCTGCCAGACAGCTATTTGATGTGTCTGGTATACCGGCTCCCAGCAGGGCTGGCCCGAGCCATTTTGGCACCCTGGATCCCGGGCGGGCGGCGCCGCCATGGGCGCATGCGTGAGCCTGCCCTGCCAGGGCGTGCGGACCCGGCTCTAGGTGCACGGCACATGCGCGAGCCTGTTCCTGGGCGCGCGGGACCGCCTCCGGGCGCACAGTGTATGCATGAGCCTGCCTCCAGGGCACACGGGCCTACCTCTGGGAGCATGGCGCATGCATGAGCCCGCCCTCGGGGTGCGCGGGCGGGCACACGGTGCATGCGCTGCCCAGCCACCACTGCTGGTGCGCAGCCCGGGGCCGCCCCCCCCTGGCCGTGCAGGGCCCCGTGGCTGCGGGAGGAAGGGCACTGCGGGAGTTAACGCTGCCCCCGCCCCAGGAAGCCACTGCAGCCCACCGGGAGCTGGGCGTGTGGCGCCTGATGGCAGCTATAAGGGGCGCCGTGCGCCCCTTACAGCTGCCATCAGGCATCCCCCATCGGTTGGCGCTCCAGGCAGCTGCCCAGCTCGCCCACCCCTTAGTCCGGCCCTGGCTCCCAGCTCACTCCTGGGGAACCAGCTGCCAGCCCAGTGCTGCGGGGTCTGATAAAAAGCCAATAGGACAGGGTGGCAATCGGCTCCCCATGTGTGGGACTGGGAATCAACATGTAACCATTACAGTAATTGATAAGCATGAGCCATTTAAATGGCTACACTCTTACATCCCTAAACACAACTAGATAAAAATTTAAGCTTAATTAGTTATTAATTTTGGAATGATTGAATAGTAAATCTAATTTTGTGAACTAGGTTTGGTTCAAAATCAAGTCCTAGTCTATCAAGTGGCATCCCAAATTCATCTGTGACCTCATCTACACTGTACTAAGTTATTTTAGAAGCCAATATAGAGTATTAATCAATACCTCTGCTTTAAATAATTCAATTTTAACCCACTCCTTATCGTCTGGACTTTCAAAATAAAATGCATTTCAAAATAAAATCCAGTGCTTCTTTATGTCAGGTGTGCAAATAATATTTTTTATTGAACAGCAAAATATAGATTTATATTTGAAATTTGCCAATTCACCTAGATTACAATACTGGAGGATATTAACCATTTATTTCACCACCACATTGTTCTAATCATCAGGTGCACATCATCTTCCTAAAACCAAATTTCAGTACGTTTCAGCTTTACTCCTTAATTCAAGAGATCTTTGTGGTCACAGCTGATTTTGGATTTAGTTACTCAAGGATCAAGATGGGCAAATCTGACTAGGTTGGCACATTTCCTATTGGATGACTGTTTGCCTTTACTCAGCTTTGAGACTATCTTTTAAAAAAGAGTCTAAAAGTTATAAATCAGTACATTATATTATTTATTCTACCTATACCATCCCTACTGTTTTTATACATTTTTATTTACAGTAAAACTCCAATTGTCCAGCATCCAGTGGTCCGGCACTCCCAATAGTCCGGCACCAACTGGAACCTGGAAGTGCTCCGGCCAGCTGGACAATTGGAGCTGCTGGCAGGGAACGGCGCAGCGAGGGGCGAACCCTCTGCTGTTTTGCAGGAAGGCGGGGGAAGCTCCACGCCACCGCGAAGAGTTTCCGGGAGGGGAGCGTGCTCCCCACCCCCCAGACTGCAGTAGTTATCACCGAGCAGGGGGGTGAGGGGCAGCGCTGCGGGACCAACCCAGCAGCACCCCAGCTGCTCTGCTCTGCCGCTCATCAGTTTCAGCCGCCTTCCCCAAGTCCGCCGCTGCTGAAACTGACAGCCCCCCGCCGGAGTACCTCCCGATACTCCGGTATATCCGATAATCCAGCACCACCTAGGTCCCAAAGGTGCCAGATTATTGGAAGTCTACTGTAATTACATTTTTATTTAATTGCAATTTTACTTATAACAAGTATGGTTGCTACAAAGAAAAATAATGAAAGTTTTTTTTTTCAAAAGCAGAAGAATCAGATGGCAGTTTTTTCACTGACAGATTTCTGAATAGCATTAATTTGTTGTGATGCTGCATACCAAAATATGCCCCCTAGTATGTGGTACACAAAATTCCAGGAAATGTTATCATTACATATCAGATTTTTAGAGCCCCTCCAGAGGCAGATATTTTCTCTCTTTTTGTCTATCCACTCCCATAGCACAATTCAAGGCTAATATAAATGAATTTAACTATACATACCCGTGTGTCCAATGAAATATTTGCAGTCTTTCCATCCACTGTGATACTTAGAACAGAGCCATCTTTTGCACTAACACAGTCCTCTCCAAACATGTCCCTAAAACAAAGCCCCATCATTGTAAAAGAGCCAAATAAATCAGTTTTTCTTCTTCTTCTTCTGTCTTTTGTTTACAGACAGATTCTGTTAGCCTCTAGTTTCAGTCAGTGACTGGGTCACAATTTTTAAAATTATAGATGACAAATAGTGACTTTAGTTATTATTAAAGTGGATTTTTAAACAACTTTAATAATTTTACTGAAATAAATCTCTTAGTAAGGGTCAAAAATCCCAGAGAGCAGCTCCCAGCTTCTATGGAATAGAAGGAACAGATGGAACAAATATCAAGGGAAATCTACCAAGATACAGATATTTTACAGGTTTTCAAAATACAGTATATTAGTAAGAAGTGATTGTGATTGACATTGCAATTCTATGCAATATTTCTGGGGATCACATATTGCATTAAGTTGATGTATCACTATGGCCAGATATGCATGCAATTCCAGTGACAGGGTTCCTCCTTAAAGAGCCAAAATCAGTGGAGGTTGACTTAAGGTGAATTACTTACTTTAAGAACATCGCCCAGATGGTCCCACTCCCTGGGGAGTCTTGCAAATACTGGTTCACAATGGCTTTCCCAGAGACCAACAGACAAAGAAAGGGCTTTTGACAAAAAAGCTGTATCTAAACAGATCAAGGGCCTTCTTTCTGATCCAGCAGACAGGGCCTTCTGTCCAAGCTGGTCCCAATCCTTACAAAACAGTTGCAAAGGCTGGCGGGTGACTTCCGGTAAGTTTTTAGCATGCATATAGGAGCTTTTATTGTTTTTATGTTTTCTCTCTGTAATGTTTTTAGCTTAAGAATAAGAATGCTAACTTAGAAAGGTTCATGTGTTAATTTGTAACTGCTGGCAATACACTGTTCACAGCCCTCAAGGAGACAGCTCAGTAGCTGGCCTTTAAGGAAACTGCTGAGGATATCAATGTCAGGCAGGCCACTGTGCAGCCTTAAAACACCAGTCAGAAGGGAGAGGGACAAATGTCTCCCTTCCCAGAAACAGGCAACAACAGGAGACCTGAGTGGGCATTCCTCCAGCGGACCACTAAGGGTGGAATACAGGTGCGGTTACTCAAACTGTCTCACTGAAGGCTTGATTTTCAGGTGCTGAGTACCAACAGCTCTCAGGCCGTGTCCACACTCAGGGGTTCTTTCGAAAAAAGTACCCTTTTTTCGAAAGAACTTCCCCTGCATCCAGACTCAAGCCGCGTTCTTTCGAAATTATTTCGAAAGAACGCGGCTTTTCTTTCGATGGCGGTAAACCTCGTTTCACGAGGAAGAACGCCTTCCTTCGAAAGTTCCTCTTTCGAAGGAAGGCGTTCTTCAATGTAAAGAGGCCGTCTTCGAAAGAGAGCATCCAGACTCGCTGGGTGCTCTCTTTCGAAAAAGCGGATTTCCTCTATCGAAAGATCCGCCTGCAGTCTAGACGCGATCTTTCGAAAGAGGCTCTTTCGAAAGATGCTTTCGAAAGAGCCTCTTTCGAAAGAAGCCTGCAGTCTAGACACAGCCTCAGTGAAGATAACGGAAAGAATAGATCTCAGCCTCTCTTAAAAAAAAATCACAGCCCTGGTTCAAAAAAAGTTAATATCCCAAAACAGTCAAGTCCTTTTATCCTTTGGTTTACTTAAATTATTGAGCTTCACAGAAATGAAACCCATATAAACCTCTGGAGCCTTTTTGATGTATAGTACATGCAAACAATGAAATGAGCCAATTGTAGGACTTTCTTTATAGACAATGTATTTAGTGGTTATTATGCTAAATTACCATATTTGCATGACAAATAAATAATATTTCTAACTGACCATTTTCAGTTATGAGTAATACTAGAAGGCTGTGCCATCTGCTCACTACGCCTGCCAACCCCCCTCTCTCTAGGGGTAGAGTGTTTGCCTAGAGGGGAGGGAGCAGGAGCAGGCTGGAGGTGCAAGGTCTCCATGTAAGAGGTGAGTGAAGGGGCAGGGTTTTAGGAGGGTAGTGAAAGAGGGAAATCTCTGGTGAGGGGGGTATGAGTGAGCAGGCTAGGGGTGCAGGGCCTCTGCCAAGGGTATGTGTGAGGGGGTTAGGACTGCAGGGAGGAGGGAGGGCACGTGGTTCCGGCCCCCCTGGGATGGGGAGACCTCACAGCTCCCACGCCCCTGGAGCACCGGAAAGCGGGGAAGCCTCGTTGCTCCAGTACTCTCAGGAGGGGGCAGGATGCGGGGCTCCTGGTCCCCCTGGGACGGGGGAGGGCATGCAGCTCCCACCCTGTGGCACCAGGGAGGAAGCCAGGCTGCTGAGGACAGAGGGGGTGGTGGGATGCTGAGTGACGTGATGACGTCACTCTGTCATCAGGCAGGACACACACACACACACAGACACACACACACACACACACACACACGAGATACATAGCAAACTTACTGAAGCATGATCTCCATCCTTTTGCTAAATACATCCATATCTACTTTTTTGGGAATCTTATGTACAACAGCTGAAAAAAATTAAGAAGTCAGCATTAGATTTTCATGGACATTTTCTTGTATTATGTCTTCCTTTTGTAAATATCTACAATTACAAAATAGTTAATTTACATGATGTAGTTCCTAAAAGTATACACAGTTTTCTTTGGAAATTTATAAATGAAAGTAAAAAAATTTAATGAAATAAAAAGGTTGCATTTTAAAGGAACAACTTAAAGACCACATTTGAAACAAGTGCTTTCTATTATTAAATTAAGCAGGTTATTAAAAGAGTTTTACAAGTCTAATCTTTAACTTCTGTTTTCACTATTTATGCAGTTTGTTTACTTTTTACATATTATTGTTAGGAAATTAAAAGAGTTTCACTTCTGTTTATAATCTGTTTTGCTTTCTGGTTTCATAGGACAAGACAAAACTACACTCTCTTAAATGACAAAAACTTCTTTAATGCAGAATGTGAAGTGCAACAAAACTTAAACTTGTGAAAACAAGGAAATACAGAGTTAACCACTGGGAATTACCTACATGTACTCCAGCTGCATTCACTGTATTAGGTGTAGTTGCATTGAATGATAGAGGAATTGGAGTAGCTTGGAAGAGCTGTGATTGTGGTATGATACAATTTTAGGGACTACGCCTCACTAGAGTGTATATGAGCCTCTCTTTCCTTGACCCTTGTATGTGTTTGTAGATCAAAGAAAAGAAGTGAGCATATGTCTTGACAGATCCTCTATGCATATTTCAGCAGTATTGTGTAGTCTGTGTCACTAGCAGGGCACAAGAATCTTCTTGCCACAAAGACAGTGCAGATACAGACACAGAGCAGTTAGATGGGAAATGAGTTTAATGAAGAGTAAGTGAAAATGTAGTATTATATGACATTGGTGCATATAGTGATGAGTTTGTAAAAGGTGCTGTAGAGGTTGTAAAAGTTTGCAGATTAGATTTTTTTTCTGTAGAATTGAATTTCAATCGTTTACATAGTTAGTGTTTTTTTTTAAATTACATCTCTACTCCCTAACCCTACCCCTCCACGCTCGGGGGGGGGGAGGGGACATGAATGTTCTTAACAAGGGGAAAGTTCAGTTCTGTTAATATGTTAAATATTTTTAATGTATTTGCTTTAAAATTGCAGGGGGGGAGGTTGCGCTAGTTTTGTTACTGAAAAAAATGTATTTGGAAAATAAATATTTTTTATTAATTCACAGCATATGATGTAGAGTGCCTAGCAGTTCTGAAAGAACCACCCACTTATTACCCCTACAGCATGACACAACTTATTGGATGGGTGACTATCAGCAAGCACCATACCATTTCTAACAGGCCCGTAAACTGATCCAGGCAAACCAGAGTACCCCACAGCATATAACTGTGGCTCACTGTTAAATGTTCTTTTTAAAC